CAATGGGAACCAGACAAGGAAGGATGCCCTTCATCACCACATCTATTCAATATTGTGCTGGTAATTCCTAGTGAGGCGTTGTGGGTTAATGCGCCAGACCACAAAGCCGTTTGAACCGCAAGGTATGTGATTCAAGCTCACTAGTCACTCCTCGGAAAACCCTATACAGGGTTGCTATGGGTCGGAACCTACTCGACGACGCTTAATAACAACAACAACCTAAGGCAAAAGGAATTCTGGTGTGGCACTGTGGGTTAATGCGCCAGACTGCAAAGCCGTTTGAACTGCAAGTCGGCTGTTTAAGCTCAGTAGCTGCTCCTCAGAAACCCTATACAGAGTCGCTATGGGTTGGAACCGACTCGACAGCACTTAACAACATAAGGCAAAAAAGATAAATTAAAAGCATCCAAATTGATATAGAAGAAATTTTTTCTGTATTTTTCTGCAAAATCGGCAGTTCAAGCTCACCAGCCACTCCTTGGTTGCAATGGGTTGGAACCAATTCAATGACACTTAACAGCAACAGCATACAAAGGAAATTCCAAAGACTCAGTAAGAAAATTAATTATTGGAACTTATTGAAAGATTCAGCCAAGTGGCAGGGTACAAAATCAACATACAAAAATCAGTTTAATTCCTTTACACTAAGAAAGGAGCTCTGAAAAGGAAATCAGGAAAACAATCCTATTTATAATAGCCACTCAAAAGAAAAAATGCTTAGGAATAAATCTAACCAGACATAAAGTAGTCCAATATAAAGAAAATGACAAAACACTACTACAAGAAACTAAAAGACACCTATATAAATAGCAGACTAGGCCATACTCATATATAGGAAGACCTGATATTGTGAAAATGTCAGTGTTACCCAAAGCAATCTATAGACATAATGCAAGTCCACTCCAGATTCCAACATCAGTCTTTAAAAATATGGAAAAATGAGTCCACTTTATATGGAAAGGAAAGAGACCCCAAGTAAGCAAAGCACTACTACAGAAGACAGTGCTGACAATGTTCATAAGGATTCAGTGGCTAAATATTCAGAAGTAGTCCATTTCTCCTTCTTCCTAGTCTGTATTCATCTGGAAGCTCAGCTAAAACCTGCCCACTGTGTGTGGCCCTACTGGTTTTAAAACACCTGTAGCATAGCTTCCAGAATCACAGCAATATGCAAACCACAACAGTATGGCAAACTGCACCAGAATTTTGAATATTGAAACCAGAATATTGTTGGATATAATGTCATAAAATGAGTCCCTCAGGTTGTAAGGCACTCAAAATACAACTAGGCAAGAGCTGCCTCCTCAAAGTACAGTTGACTGTGATGACACAAATGGAGTAAAGCCTTCAGGACCTTCATTTGGTGATGGGGCATAACTCAAAATGAAGAGAAATAGCTGTAAACATCCATTAATAATCAGAACATGCAATGTACAAATTAGGAATCCCAGAAAATTATCAAAAATGAAATGGAATGCACAAAAATCGGCGTTAGTGAGCTGAGATTGACTGATATTTGCCATTTTGAATATGACAATCACATGGATTACTCTGCCATGAATGACAAATTGAAGAAGAATGGTGTCACATTCATCCTCAAAAGAGCATATAAAAATCTGTCTTGAAATACACCACTGTCTATGATAGGATAATATCCATATTCCTACAAGGAAGACCAGTTAATACAACTATCATTCAAATTATACACCAACCAGTAAAGCCATAATGATGATATTGAAGAATTCTAACAACAACCAACGTCTTTGGTCTGAAATCGATCAAACATGCAATCAAGATGTATTGATCATAGCTGGTGATTGGAATGCAAAGTTTGGAAACAAAAGAAAGAATCAGTCGTTGGAAAATATAGCCTTGGTGATAGAAATGATGCTGGAGATCACATGATAGAATTTTACAAGACCAATGACTTTTTTTCATTGCAAATACCTTTTTGAAACAACATAAAAGATGACTATACACATGACCCTCACCAAATGAAATATACAGAAATCAAATTGACTACATCTGTAGTAAGAGACAGTGGAAAACTCTGTATCATCAGCCAAAACAAAGCCAGGGGCAGACTGTAGAACAGACCATCAGATGCTCATGCACAAGTTCAGGCTGAAGCTGAAGAAAATTAAAACAAGTCCACAAGAGCCAAAATATGAACACATCCCACTTGAATTTAGAGATCATCTGAAGAACAGATTTGATGCATTAGGCACTAAAGATCAAAGACCAGAGGAATTGTGGATGACATCAAGAACATCACACAGGATAAAAGCAAAAGGTCATTAAGAAGACAAGAAAGAATGAAAAGACCAAAATGGATGTCAAAAGAGACTCTGAAACTTGCTCTGCAGCATATTTACACTAAAATAAATGGAAGAAATGAAGACGTAAAAGAGCTGAAGAGAAAATTTCAGAAGGCAACTTGAGAAGACAAAGTGAAATACTATAACGAAATGTACAAAGACTTGGAGTTAGAAAACAAAAGGGAAAAACACGCTCAGCAATTTTCAAGCTGAGGAGCAAAATTTGTGGCTATAATTGCGGTATTGAAGAATTCTATGGGCAAAATATTGAATGCTCTCGAAAGCATCAAAAGATGGAAGACTCGGGCTGCAGGGGCTGCCGGGACGGCCGGACTCTTCCCCCATCTTCCTTACATGCGTTAGACCAGCCCTCGCATTTAGAAGTCTGGATGTTGCTGTTGCTGCTTCCATTGCTGTGGAGCGCTTCTGCGGGACCGGAACCATAAAGGACAATTTTCAGATCGCCACAATGACTGAAAATGGTGATAGTGAAAAGAGGCCAAAATCTGTGTCAAACTGAGTATTATTTTGGTGACTTTAATTTGCCACGGGACAAATTTTTAAAGGAACAGATCAAACTAGATGACGCCTGGGTACATTTGGAGAAAATGATAAAATTCAACAGGTTAAACCATCTAACAACAGACTTTAATATAATAGTAGAAGCATTGAGTAAATCAAAGGTAGAACTCATGGAAATAAGTGATGATAAAACTAAAATCAGAAGGTCTCCAAGCAAACCCCTCCCTGAAGTGACTAATGAGTATAAAAATGACGTGAAAAACAGAACTGTTTATATTAAAGGTTTCCCAACTTATGCCACCCTTGATGACATAAAAGAATGGTTAGAAGATAAAGGTCAAGTACTAAATGTTCAGATGAGAAGAACATTGCACAGAACATTTAAGGGATCAATATTTGTTGTGTTTGAAAACATTGAATCTGCTAAGAAGTTTGTAGAGACCACTGGCCAGAAGTACAAAGAGACAGACCTGCTAATACTTTTCAAGTAAGATTACTTTGCAAAAAAGAATGAAGGAAGAAAGCAAAATAAAGTGGAAACTAAATTACGAGCCATACAAGTGCAAGAAGAAAATCAGAAGTTAGCAGAAGATGCTGAAATGCAATCTCTAGAAGAAAAGATGGGCTGCTTACTGAAATTTTGGGGTGATTTAGATGATCAGATGTGTAGAGAAGACTTGCACATCCTATTCTCAAACCATGGAGAAATCAAATGGATAGACTTTGTAGGAGGAACAAAAGAGGGAGTAATTCTGTTTAAAGAAAAAGCTAAAGAAGTATTGGATAAAGCCAAGGAAGCAAGTAACAGTAACCTACAATTAGAGAACAAAGAAGTGACCTGGGAAGTGCTAGAAGGAGAGGTAGAAAAAGCAGCATTGGAAAAAAACTATGGAAGATCAACAAGAATCCCTAAACAAATGGAAGTCAAAAAGTTGCAAATTTAAAGGAAAAGGAAAGGGAAATAAAATTGCCAAGGCTGGGTCTGCTAAAGGGAAAATACAGTTTCAGGGAAAGAAAACTAAATTTGATAGTGATGATGAATGTGATAAAAAATGGTGCAACTGGATCAGTGAAAAGAGCAAGAGAAGAGCCAGAGAGAGAGAGAAGAGCCTGCATCAAAACAAGAGAAAACAGAAAATGGTAGAGGAGACCAGGAGTTTAGAATAAACATTTTAGAATTCATTTTATTTAGGTTTGAATCTACTTTTCTCTTTGGATTTTTTAAAACAAAATCAAATTAGGTCCACTTCAATGTCCACCTGCAAAAACGAAGACTTTTGTTGTTTTTGTCTTTTTTGTTATTAAATGTTTTTAAATGTATAACTGCTATTAGATGATTCAAAAGGAAGATTCTTCCACTAAATTACATTTTTAATATGAGGATAGTATAAACTTTAACAAAATATATGCTATATAAAAAAGCAAGTAGTTTTTTTTTCACCTAACTTTTTGGTTTTGTGCCTAAAGCATTAAAGAATTTATTACCTTAAACCAGAAAAAAAAAAAAGAAGAAGATGGAAGGAATATACAAAGTCACTGTACCAAAAAGAAATGGACTGCCAAAAGAACAAACTAATCTGTATTAGAAGTACAGCCAGAATGTTCTCTGGAGGCCAGGATGGCCAGAATTTGTCTCTCCTACTTTGGACATATTATCAGGAGGAACTAGTCCTTGGAGAAGGCTATCATGTTTGGTAAAGTGGAAAGTCAGAGAAAAATAGGAAGACCCCCAATGAGATGGATTGGCACAGTGAGTTTGTCTGGTGCAGGACCAGGCAGTGTTTTGTTCTGTTGTGCATAGGGTCACTGTGAGTCAGCACCAACTTGATGGCACTTAACAACAAGCTAAAGGAGAACAAAGTAGTGAGCCTCACACTTCTTGATCTCCAAACCTTCTATACAGTCACAATGAAAGACACATAGACCTATGGAACAGAATTGAGAACCAAAAGTAAATTCAACCATCTTTGGAGAGTTGATTTCTGACAAAGGACCAGAAATCATTAAATGGTGAAGAGATAGTCTCTTTAACAAACAGTACTAGATATCCATTTGCAGGAAAATGATACTGCACCCCTACCTTTCTTCATATACAAAAAATAACTCAAGATGGATCAAAGATCTAAAAGTAAAATCTAAAAACTGTATAGACCATCAATGAAAAAGTAAGTGTTCTGAAATTTCTATTTCTCCCAATGTTATCCATAACTTGTGTTCCACACAAGTGATATTGACTTTGCATAGTCAATAAAACACATGTAGATGTGTTTCTGGTATTCTCTACTTTCAGCCAAGATGGATCTGACATCAGCAATGATATTCCTCATTCCACGTCCTCTTCTGATTCTGGCTTGAATTTCTGGCAGCTCCCTGTCAGTGTACTGCTGCAGTCATTTTAAAATTATCTTCAGAAAAATTTTCTTGCATGTGATATTATTAATGATACTGTTCAAGAATCCACAATCTGTTGGATCACCTTTCTTTGGAATGGACACAAATATGGATCCCTTCCATTTGGTTGACCAGGTAGCTATCTTCCAAATTTCTTGGCATAGATGAGTGAGTGCCTCCAGCACTGCATCAGTTTGTTGAAATAATCCAGTTTGTATTCTGTCAATTCATGGAATCTCGTTTTTTTTGCCAATGCCTTTAGTGCAGAATGGACTCTAGAAATAGAGCCATATATATGAGGCTTTGATCTCCAAACAAAGTTCTCAATGGGGGAAAGCAAATTAGTTCATTTGAGAAGAGATTATTCTAGAGCTAGGGAAGGCATAGTATAAGGAGCTTATGTGGGCTACATCACTGATACCATGATGTTCTGGGAGAAAGGTGGGGATTGTTGTCTTTCTCCTAGTCATGCCTCACTCTGCATCCTGGAGTATCAGGCATCTCTGCTCCCAAGTTTTCCAAAGCCTTTGAGAAAGCCCTGGGTGTGGGTGAGGTTTTCTACATAAGGCCTGAATCATGAACTTATCTGAGGGACCAAGATGAACTTTTTGCTCACCTCCTAACACCTCCCTAACCACCCTACACTTTGTCTTATCTTTTTTTTTCAAATGATTTCAACTTAATTTTCATACAAGTAAATGTATATATTCTCATACAAATTTAAACAGTAAGTACATGTTGATGTTCAAATGCAAAATACCCATTTATGTCCTCCATCCCCACCATGTCCACCTCCCTTACCACTGTGTCCTAGAAGTGTGGCTGCTAGCTATTAAAATCCCAGCTTTGTTAATTACTAGGGATGCACTTACTTAACCTTTCTGTAGAATAATAGGGTTGTTGTTATTGTTAAGTGCCGTGGAGTCAGTTCCAGCTCATAGTGACCCTGTGCAGGGTTTCCGAAGCTGTAAATCTTCATGGGAGCAGAAAGCCTCATCTTTTTCCCGTGGAACAGCTGGTAGTTTCAAACTGCTGACCTTGTGGTTTGCAGCCCGATTCGTAACCACTATGCTACCAGAGCTCCTGTCAGAGCACTACCCAGAATAGGGTAGTGACAGTTATTTGCCTCGTTGATTGTTACAATGATTAAATGAGTTAATTCATGTAAAGTGATATGAGCAATGCCAGGCACACAGTTAAATACTATGTAAGTGTTCACTCTTATCAGTTTGGTGTGTGCCCTTTCAAAGCTTTTCTGTGCCTTTACATACATACGGGTATATTCAGAACTAGATTATCTGGGAGTGTTTCCCCATATTTAACCCATGTTTTGCACTCTTTCTTCTCATCATACCTCACCCCTCCCCAACAAACAAAGAATCAGGTTCTGACAACTCAGCGTTTCTAACTTGGTCAAAGGCTGGCTCAAACTGACTCTCCTATAGTTATAGCAGGGGCCGGGCCAGCTTCTTTTCAATATCCAAAGAGTAGCTCTTTAGTAGCTGTTATGAACTGAATGTGTTCCCCCAAATATGTGTTGTAAATCTTAACCTCTATGCAGTTATAATTCCATTTGGGAATGGGTTGCCTTTGTTATATTAATGAAGTAACATTAGTATAGGCTGTATCTTGAATCATTCTTGCAACATATAAAAGGAACAGACGAAGCAAACTGAAATGGGAGAAGATAGATGTCAAGTTACATGAGGATCTCCAAGGAACCTGGAAACAGAAGTTGCAGAGACAAGGACTTTTCTAAAAAGACAACAGAGAGACAAAGTCTTCCCCTAGAGCCAGCACCTTGAACTTAGACTTCTGACCTAGTAAAACGTGAGAAAATAAAAATCTGTTTGCTAAAGTCATCTACGTGTGGCATTTCTGTTACAACAGCACTCGATAACTAAGACAGTAGCTAATAAGGGATTGAGGAGGATGTGGTTCTAATCTAGTGTTTGCTATTAACTGTACCTTAATGCCATGGTGATGATAACCAACCCAATAGCAAAATTTTAAAGAGAATGTACATCTTTATTGAAGGCTTTGTTGAGAGATCAGCAAAGGGCAATTATACTTCACAACACAAGGTGACACTTCCTAAAATTCTTCTGTGTCTGTCTGCAAAGCCACATCTGGCAACTCTCACATCTCTTTTCCCTTGCCTCTCAGATTCCCAGATCACTGAGCTGTTGCTCTCCTCTCAGGGCCTGTTTGGGGACTCTGCATTTGTTCTCTCATGAAGTGATGTAGTGATGCAGGCTCTCTAGTTACCTTCAGTTCTCACCTCCAGGCCCAGCAGTGACAAAGTCCAGTAGTGATAAGGAAAAACAAGATGGTAAGAAAAGAAAACAATTTGAATTTAACACATATTTTTATTCACAGTACATATATAACCCTGAACAAATCATACTTTTTTCCCTGCCGCTAACTCCTTGCCTTTTCGTTTTGTAGGTCACTGTCTTTTGAGAGTCCCACTATGCCTACTCAAAAATAATACCGAACAAGTATGAGAAGGACTACCATAGCAATTCTGAACTTTTTGGAAATACTGTCTTCAGATGGTAACATATCTGTGAGAACATCAATCATTACTTTACCTAGTCCAAGGGAAAAAATGAAAAGTTATAAGCATTTTTAAAATTATTTGTATTAAATATGCCCTTCACAGCATGATTTTTTTTTTCTCAGCTGGCCTTAGGCCTAAACTTATTCTTGGTCTCTATGAAAAGTTTAGCTTTACAATTCTTGTTTTGAGGTCCACACAGCCCCTGAAGTTTGTTTCTTGCTTCCTTCCCTTCCTCCCTCCCTTTTTTCCTTTCTTGCTTCCTTCCTCATTCCTTCTCTCCTTACCTTTCTTCTTTTCTAAGCATCTGTTAAGTGTTGATCCAGGCTTTGGGGGAAGGAAGAGGGACAGGAATGGAAGGGACTCTTGTAAACAAGTTACGAGTATGTTGGGAATATGTTTTTAATGAATGAGAATGGTAAAAATGAGTTGGATTTGTGGGTGTGTGGAATGACACTACCACTAGTAACTATAGATTTACTATGAGTCTAATTCTGCATCTCCTTGAATAACAAGCTGCAAGTGGTCAGGGACAACACGCTTTACCTTTTGGTCTTTAGCTGTAGTTCCTGCCAGTTCAAGGATCTCTACGGTGAGGTACTCCAGATGGTAGTGCTGTACAAAGTGGCAGTCTCTCACACATGGCTATGCTGGTTGTCCTAGATTCCAGACTTTCCTGAACATAACCATTAGGAACTGTAGGCCAGCTCTCTAAGAGCAGAAAACTCCTTTGTCTAGGGTTTTTTTTGGAGTCTATCCCAGTCTTTGCTTAATGCAATACGTCGTTTGCTCTCTTGACTGCTGCTTCCGTGAGTGTTGATAGTTGATCCAAGAAGAATGA